AGAAGAGACTTGGGAAATTTTTTTAAAAAGGGGTGGGTTTTTATATTTTCGGTAATGAATTCCAATTTTTGGGGTTTTAAGTGCATTGAGTTTTTGCATAACGGGGAGATGGACACGAGAACATCCCAAAAAGTGTTTTGTGCCCCGGGGGTTATTGGGCCCTTGTTTTGTTGGGTTGGCAAATTGGAGATAATTTTTGGGGGGGGGTTTTTAAAATCAAAAGGTTTTTGTGTTCTTGTATGTAATAAGTGCAAAAATTTAATTTGGGTGTTTTGGGTTTTTTTAGTAGGGTTTAGTGTTTTGAATTTTTGGGTGGAAATGTGCTGCCTTTAGTGAAATTTTTTATTTCTAAACTGCACCTTTTTTTGGGGAATTATTTGGGCTGAGATGGGTTAAAATTGGGTTTTTGAGGCCCCATCCAAATTCCTTGGTTGGGGGAGGGGGAAAAAAGGGGAAAAGGGTAAAAAGGGCCCCCGGGGGGCTGACTGGGAACATATACCGTACTTTTTGATAGTATCCTAACCCTCTTGGAAAACCTTTCTTAGAAATTTTTTTGTATATGTTATTTAAATTTGTGTTATTATCGAGGGTGGGGTTTTCCCAAGAAATTTTCCCTTTTTTAGCTTTGTATAGGTTTATTTCCTTTATTGTTTTGGGAAAAGGTTAAAATCTGTAGCTCTTTTTACCAAAATGAATAAAAGGGTTTTGGGGCAATGTTTAGTGTAAGTTTTTTTAGCCCATCCAGGTAGATATTTTCTTTAATTCGGGTTTACAGTATTGGGCTTGCCCCCTTTGCGTACACATATGGGGTTTTTGTTGCTGAGGTAAGACTTGAGGTAGTTGAGGGGGTGCCCTCTAATACCATAGTGTGACAATTTTACGTGGAGCAAGTCATGGTCAACTGTATCAAAAGCTTTACGTAAGTCAATGAAGATCCCCAGTGGGACTTCTTTTTTCTCTATTGCAGTGTATATATGTTCTAGCATGTGTATAATAGCATCATTAGTATTTTTATTAGGCCTGAATTCAAATTGGCAGGGGTTGAGAATGTTATGGGAGATGTAGGTAGGAGTAGATTCGTTTATGAATTAATTTTTCGAAGATTTTTGGAGAGGGTTTTTAAATTGGATATTGGCCTATAGTTATTCAACTCTGGTCTCCTCCTTTATGGATCGGGGTGACCCTTGCTGTTTTGAGAACTGTAGGGAAGGTGGAGGATTCAATGGATTTGTTAAAGAGTGTTGCAATGATTGGTGATAGTACTTGTGACGGTTTTTTGTATATATAAGGGTTGGTAAGGTATTTAAATCTCCTGCCTTGTTTTTCAGTGCGTTGATAATAAGGGAGACGTCGTATGGGTTAGTCGGAGCTAGGAACAGTGTGTTCGGGTAGTTGCCAGTGAGGTAGTCATTTGGTGGGGTTTATCTGAGCTTGGGATATTATTGGCAAGGTTTTGACCTATAGTGGAGAAGAAATCATTGAGTCTGTTTGCTGTTTCTGTTGGTGGGAGTTGGGGTTCATCTGATTTTGCTAATTTTATTTCGCTATGTCGTGATATCTTTTTTGTTCCCAGAATTTCTGATAGGGTCTTCCAGGTCTTTTTTATATCACCTCGTAAGTTGGATAATCCGTTCTCATAATACAATTTTTTTGCCCTTCTTATCAGGCTGGTTAGGATTGACGAGTAACGTTTTGTTTGGTCTCTGGTTATGTGACCCATTCTGTAATGTTTTTCATATCGGTGTTTTGTATTTATGGATTTGAGAATGCTGGGTGTTAGCCAGGGACTGTTCAGTCTCTTAGCTGTCATCTGTTTAGTTTTTTTAGGGCAGTGCTTGTTATAAAGGTATTGGGTCTTTTTTAGAAAATTATTAAAACATTCGTCAATATCTGTATAGATTTCTAGCTCAGTGTGCCAGTCAATGTTTGTTACTGCTGTTGTGAAGTTATTAATGGCTGCCTCATTGTGAAGTCTGAAGGTGACTTTAGTAGTGTCTTGGGGTATTTTACCAAGAGTGTTATGAGGAAAGTAGGGTAGTGGTCTGTGGTATTATCTGTAATTATGCCTGATTTTAAAGGGGATATGGTGTTGGTCCAGATGTGGTCAAGTAGGGAAACACTAGTCTCTGTAACTTGTAGGTTTTGTTACTGTTGGTAGCAACATGCAGTTACTCATTGTGTTTGTGAATCAGTAAACGTGTGGGTCCTGGTCTTGCAGGAGATTTATATTGAAGTCACCTGAGAGTAGTAAGTGATCTTTGTTCATGCATGCATCAGTTATCATACTTCCTAGGTTTTGACTAAACTGGCTAATGTTTGATTGTGGAATTCTGTAGATATTTATCACTGTGAGAGGTTTTTGTAGGTATTTGGATTTGAATTTAGCTATTATATATTCCCCATGTTCATCCCTTGTGCAAGTATTAGTGATACATTCTAGTTGGTCTGAGTAGTATATAGCTGTGCCACCCCATTGTTGGTCTGGCCTACAGTTGTGTATGGCTGTGTAACCAGGAATGGCATAGACATCTGTAGTATCAGGCTTTAGCCAGGTTTCAGTTAGTGTAATGATGGACATATTGGCATGCAAGGAATTTAGTAATGCTAGGAGGTCATCATAATGCTTGCTTAAAGATCTGATATTGTAGTTAAAGATAGTTATGTTGTTGTTGGCTCTGAGAAGTGCCTTTGATTGTTCTGCTGTGTAGTAATTACAGTAATTGTTTGAATCATTTAAGTCATTAAATAAGAGGTTGGTATCAGGATCAATGCTTGTAATCATAAAATTTGTAGTGAATCTATAGTTAGAATTAAGTAAAAAATAAAGTAAATAATCTAAAGCTAAAAAAATAGCACCTGAATTATTTAACAAATGTAAAAAATAATGAGCTAAAGTAGTTTTCTAAAGCTAAAATAAAGGAGACAATATAAAAGGGACTAAAATAATTTGTGGTGAACAAATAAAGTGATGATCATATAATGGAGCTTGGGAATATGATAGTAGGTAGTACTTTAAAGGTAATTCTTTAAAGTTAGAATTATAATATAAAATTATAATATAAAAGGGACTAATATAAGTTGTGGTGAACAATAAAGTGGTAATCAAATAAATGAGCTTTGGAGTATAATTTCAAAATAGTGAACTTATTAACTTTAGCACCTGAGAATAGCACCTTGATTAGTTTAACAATTGCGAATATATGATCTAAGGTGTTATATAGAGCTAAAATAAAGGACAAAAAAAATATAAAGGGGGTCAAATTTAGTAATGGTAAAAAAAGT